GGGGGATAGTCGCTTCGATGGGGTGGCCAGGTCGGGGGGGCAGCAAACGTATCCGTTAACGGCCCTAAGGGCAGACAACGATGCGGTCAGTGTGCATGTCAGAGCGAAAATAGGAACACTATAACGGCCAATTTCACAGCGGCGTTCTGATGACATACGGAAAATCTCCAGTGGACGCAATTATGACACTGTCCACCGGCCTTGATGCGGGAATCGTACACCATGACACAATATCGGTCTCTCATACCAGATTTTGCAGCCCATACGTTTCAACTTTCACCACGAAAACAGGTCACATTATCGTGTAATCTCTCTCTCTCTCTCTCTCTCTCTCTCTCTCTCTCTCTCTCTCTCCGCCCCCCCCCCGTGTGTGTGCATCCATTGAGGTGGAGCAACATGACTAAGAGGACGGCTCATCAGAGAACGACGGCGAACGACGACGACGGCGGGAGGTTCCTTCCGATAGACCACGAAGTGCCTCGGCGAGCAGCATGTAAGCTCGGTCACGTGACGTGATATCCTCGGCGAGCAGCATGAAAGCTCGGTCACGTGACGTGATATCCTCGCGCATTACAGCGCAAGTAAGGTCGGCCACCTCCCTCTGTGCAGCAAGTTCCCTCCCACACAACTCCGTTATGGTGGCACAATGAAGCTCGCTGCATGCTCTGTTGCTTTGACTTTGCTCCGATGCAGATGCGCGAGTGGCCGCAATGTGGTCCCTCATCGCATCGTTCACAACATTCAGGCTTTGTTCCCTCGCATTCACATTCCTCCTTCGTCTATTGGGAGGTGTCCCGGTGTCACACCTGTCACACCCGTCACTTCCGACGACTGGCCGACATCCACTCCAGGCGCTGCATGCCTTTCCTGAACTCCACCATTCTCTTGGCCCCACTCCACATTTGCATCATTCACAGGAGGTGGAGGAACCTCTTCCTCAACCCCCGGGTCAACCACTCGGTCCGGATACACAGCCTGGTTCCTGGTGTTGTACGATTGTAAGATATCAAACCACATGCTGCGGAAGTTGAAATCAAGGCCAGTAGCCTTCCTCTCTGCTGGAGTCATTGTCCAATAGCTCTGGCGACCGCTCCATGTGTCGTTGTCGACAACGCTGATGTACCACCTCCTGAGGATGTTCCACCTCCTCTTGCACTCATCCGCCGTGCGATTCCATCGAGCTTTGATCATCTTGTTCGCAATGACATCCCATACCTTTGTACGCAACTTCCCTTTCCCATACCCCTCCGAGTCAGTGCTCTGGCCGCCAACTGCTTTGAACGAGCCTTCAATAGGACTACAGTTTCCTTGTCTCCCCAATGCCCATAACAGGTTCTTTTAGGTGGAGGGGCAGTAGATGGCCCAGGCACAGGAGCGGCAGTCTCACCAACGTTTCTGTTCCCCCCTCCCTGCGCACCATCACTGGTGGTGCTGCGGACTTCGTCATCATTCGTGGCACCTGCTTTCCCCTGCAAAGAAGGCACAGTGGGTACATCATGGAATGTCCCCCTTCTTGCACGCCATCAGCTTGGGTAGTCCGTAATCCGCTTGGTGGGAGAACATAACCTCCACCTGTCAAAATCTGAGAACACACAATACTGCCAGCGGAAACCGCAATGTCCATCTCTGATTGACCCGCAGTCACCGGCGGAGGCGCAGATTGCAGGGGACTAATATGGACTCCACAACCTTCTAAAGGAATGGAGAACACTATCCTCGGCATTGTCACACAATGAGGATGGACTTGCCGCATGCCCACACCGTCTGTAGACGAAGGAACAACATTCACCACGCTGGATGCGGCAGGGGGAGTGGCTGCCGTCAGCGGGGACACGTGTGCATGTGCTGTGGTCGTGGAATGGCAAGAGTACAAAGGAGATGCTGGAGTCACGGAAGTGGAGGGTGACGTCAATAGCCATGAGCACGTGGGCATAGAAGTGTGGGGAAGTGTGTGATGGGGCGACGATAAAAACATCAACTGCTCTACCTGCGATGGAGGCCGGTGATCACCGGCGTGCATTGTAAGCAAGCGCAGAGGGGTGGGGAAGGCAGGGGAGTCAGGGGACACGGGCGTTTCACTAGGCACGTGTCCCATTCCCTGGGTTGGCCCCTCCGTTGCGAGGTATGACAACACACGTTAAACCCTAGTGGAATACAGCATAGGGCTCCATGAGCTGGGAAAAGAAGCACAGTCCTTCTCTGACACGTGCTTCTCACAACCAAGGTTAGCATCCGTCCGCGGAGCACGAAACTCATGAGACGGGGTGTCTATGCCGCCATGTATGGTGGTCGATGTTGCACGCTCGTCGGCAATGACCAATGATGGCAAAGACAGCCTGTGAGCCCCCGTGGATGGACGTCCACCTACATGCTCTGCAGGTGAAACCATGAACATAGGGCGCAGACTGCCGCCGTCGCTTAGTGGGAGAAATTGTTAACCGTCCATCCACGTGCGTCGTCAATTGTGGCATGTGAACGGGAGGGAGGATGAACGGACGCCTGTCGCATGAAGAAACAATTGACGCCTCACCACCTCCAACTCATCTTCACTCGCATAAGCACCCAATACCACGGATGGCTGCATGAACAGACTGCCCCCATCACGGCTCGAAGTGCCCTCGATCGCATGATTGGGGAGTTGCACCCGCTCTCCATTGACTCTTCGTCCTTCCATAGCTGAACACTTGCACGACACCACGCAGCACCCACACCCGCGGACACAGCGACCACGTAAAGTACGAAAAAACAACCGAACCTGAGGGGACATACGATGGTGGAGCACGTACGACTGACAACCTCACAGCAGCGGAGTACAGAACGTGCGGTGTTCAACTTGTGGACTTCGCCAAACAATCACATGAACACACCTCTACAGCATAGACGTAGCCTGTGCGCAGATGCGGGCAATGCATCGACAGGAGCAAGCATGTGGCCTTATATTCCTCCTCTGGCAGGAGAACGAAGTCTGGCGAGCCATGGTGTATGCCAAGCCACCGGAAGCCTGCGGAAGGGCATCCCTGCGATGTGCTTAACGGTCGCTCACACACACACACAGAGAGAGAGAGAGAGAGAGAGAGAGAGAGAGAGAGAGAGAGAGAGAGAGAGAGAGAGAGAGAGAGGTGGAGGGCGAGGTGGGGAACCTCCCAAAACGCATAGCCGTTGCCGTGCAATAATTACATCCCTCGACGGCCGTGAAGAACACCAGCGATGCACGAAGCGTACACAAGCACTTCGAAGTCCGAAATGTTTGAAGCCGGATTTCAAAAAAAGGGGAAGAACAGCCGTATGTTTGCTAGATCGTTCTTCTATGATGACGGAGCCCAAAACGGCATCTTCAAGAGGACGTTGTGTTGTTATTGTCACATTGATACACGTCGTGTGCACGAGGGTGAATAGGCGGATAATGGGATTCAGCACTCCCTTTGATGATGATATGGCTCTGGTCCACTACAGTTGGAGTGGCCACAACAGCCGTCAACGGTCCGCACCGTCTCTCCCGTATGTCTTTGTGAATGAAAAAACTCCATGATGACGGTAAGGCGCGCAGACTGCGGCGCAGTAGAAATATGCTGACGCAGGAGACCGGGTAAGGCCACTCCCACTGCCAGCCACTCGCACGGCACACACAAAGAGAGAGAGAGAGAGAGAGAGAGAGAGAGAGAGAGAGAGAGAGAGAGAGAGAGAGAGAGAGAGAGAGAGAGAGAAATGGCATAGAGAGAGAAATGGCATAGAGAGAGAAAGAGAGAGAGAAAGAGAGAGAGAGTCGTGCAGCCTGCTGCAAGTGCAGTGCTTTTCCCGTGCAGCCACATGGAAGTCTGTTGAACGTCCTTGCCATCATCGTGTCCCTATGCATTTTCCCGTGCACTTCATGTCGTGCAGCCTGTCGACTGCCCCCTCACTCCACGCCGACAATCGAACGCCCATACACATCGCCGTCATCGACTGCAACTTCCGAACGCACATCCATTGTGATGGTTGTCTGAACTTGTCTCAACGCGCACAGATGCCGGTAGAGAGAGAGAGAGAGAGAGAGAGAGAGAGAGAGAGAGAGAGAGAGAGAGAGAGAGAGAGAGAGAGAGAGAGAGAGTAGCTCCTCCTGCGGCCTCCTGCGTCCTATCCCAACTTCCCAAGCCAGTAGCTCCGAGGGCCCTCAGGAAGATGCCCAAGAAGAGACGTCGCCAGCCATCACCGGAAAAGCAAGGGAGCCGAGTAGGGACCAAGGAGGAAGTGGTCCAGCCAGTGCCGGCCGATCCCGTCCTGGAAAGCAAAGCGACGCCGATGAAGGGACCTCAGCCCGGAGAAGAAGCCAGGACAAGCAGATTTGGGATACATATGAGGCTTCCGGAGCCAGCACCACGGCCATTGCTCCTCCCCGATCTCAATCTCGATGGAGCCCACCCATCAGCACCAGCCGCAGGAGGAGGAGTGGGAGGAGTACCACATCCCGCACACAGACCCCCCATCCTCGAGGGACCTTTCCGCTTCCGCCAGCCACCCCGGAGTGCCCCGGTCATTGACCTTAGTAGTTCCTCTGAGCCGGACGGTCCACCCGACAAACGTTGAGTTTATGGTGGAGCCTGCAACAATCAGGCTCGAGGTGATTGAGGGCTACGAATCTCCCTCGGAGGCGGCTGTCGGCAGTCAAATCCGCGGCCGCACAACTTTGCGACCGCATGGCGGCCAGTGGGGAGGGGGGCCGGGGGTTTGGGAAGTGGCATGGGGAGGCACAACCCCAACCCCAACCCCTCAAAAAAGAAAAAAGAAAAAAAAAAAAAA